TCAAATCTTTTTTTTTTTTGATTTGAGAGAGGGTTTCTTTGTGTAGCCTTGGCTATCTTGGACCTCTGTAGACCAGGTTGGTTTTGAACTCAGAGAGATCCATCCGCCAATCCTCCTGAGTGCTGGGATTAAAGGCATGTGCTGCCACCACCACCACCCAGCTGTTTTTCTCAAATCTTAAACTTGTATGAGAACTCAAGAGAGATGACTGGGATTAGAAGCTAAGAATCTACTTAGCTCTTGCTAGCCTCTGTCTCATTACACCACCAGAATCAAATGCATAGTTTGGTTAGTTATTGGGTCTCACTTTTTTTTTCTAAGAAAATGTAACCTATTACAAAGAAAGGACATTATTACAAACGGACTTTTTGTTCTTCAGGGAAAAAAAAGTTATGAAACTAAGTATGAACCTGAAATTCTAACTAAAAATAACATGGCTTTATAAAAATTAATTAGGAAACACGGTAGCCTAGAGGGTCTTACAGATCATTACCATTGTTTAAATTTTTTTGTGTTTGTTGGGAATTAAACTCAGGGTCTTGCAAATGTCGGCTATATCCCTGGTGCATTCATCTTTTAAAAATATATTTGGAATAGGATGTTCAAAAGACATGTATGACTGGTAAGATGGGTAGACAGAAACTTGCCACCAAACTCGATGACCTGACTTAGGTCCCAGAGACCTAGATGGTGGAAGGCTGCAAGCTGTTTTCTGGCCTCCACACACATGCTATGGAATGCACATGCCCACACACATAAAATACAAACACACAATAAATAAAAATGGAATGAAAAGTTAGTACTGACTAAACACTAATCAATGCACAGTTAGATACATATATGTATACAAGGGTTATTTCTCCCATGTGTAACACTTTAGCAGATTAAAAATTTTAAAGTCTAAAAGTAAAGTAATAGGTATTAGTCTATAAATTACAATGCCAAACACCAGAAATATAAAAATCTACTAGACTTAGTATGTCTGCTCTTTGGTTACACTATAAAGTAGGGTTAAATAATTGAATTACATGCTTCAAATAAACTATTATATACAAACAGCTTTATAATAGGGGTGGCAATTATACAGTAAAAGGAGATCTGGGAAGAAACTGAGAGTTACTCACTTTTTAAGTACAGTGTTCATCACATCTTTGGGTGGAATCTTACAGAAGCCCTATGAAAAGATTAACTTGATTCTCACCCCATATTTCAGATGAAGACAAGGAAGCTCCAAGAGAGTAGGCAATTTGCCTTAAGAATAAAACAACCAAATCAGAGCTAGAGCCAGCCAAATCAGACCTTACTTCCACAATACTGAATTCTAAATTAACACTCAAGTCAGAGTGAAAAGCAGAAAGGAATTCAGAACCAAACTTAGTGTTTCCCTAACTAATTTATTAAGACAAACTTTCTGGGACACACAAACACATTCTTGGAAGGGCTTGATGGACACACCTAAAACCCTAGTAATCTGGAAGCTGAGGCAAACACAAGTTCAAAGCCAGCCTGGGCTATTAAATGAGACTTTGTCTCAAGAAATCAAACTGGGCTGGGAAGATGGTAGAGTGCTTGTTGCCCAAGTCCTAGGACTCAAGTTCAGATTTTCCTGCACCGCATAAAAGAGGTCACAACAGTGAGGTAGAGACAGGCAGATCCCAAACCAGACCTACAACAAATTCTCAAATGTTATAGTAGGACTAAAAACCACCACCTTCAGGAAAGGGGTGTTTTTAACTAGTGTCTTCAAGAGATGAGACCAGTGATTACACTGTCCAATTTGGAGATATATGGCTGTTTAAGTTGACATTAAGTGAAAACAATATGATAAAATACTAAAGGCTTCCATTCATTAACTACATTTTAAGTGTTCAATAGCCACTAAGGCTGATGGCTTCCATACTCGCTAGCACAGATAACACACATTTCCATGACTGCAGAAAGTTCTATTAGACATCAACAAATGATTCTATACCAATCCTTCAACTATAAGGAGAAAAATCAAGGCATCTGATGCCATCCCACAGCCATGGGGCTAAACAGTGGCAAAAGTGCAACTCAAGCCTCTTCTGACCATTGTTCCCCTGACTACCACTGCACCCCTTTTCTTACATTCAGGGTTTATTCAAGCCAATTTATAGCCTTTTAATCTTTCATTATGCTTTCTAGCAAAGCCAGAAGAGAAACTGTAAATTCATGGGGGGGGGGATACTTAATAAAAAAATTGAGGATTAAGAAATAGTAAGCTCTTGGCTGGGGATATAGTGTCAGTAACAGAGCTCAGGCACACAGGAGTTCTGGGCTCACTTACCACCACTGCATAAGCTAGATATGGTGGTACATACCTATGAACTACACTTAAGTTTGAGGCCTGAAAGGGATACCTGAGACCCTACCTCAAAACAAAAACTCCACAATAATCTAAAATAATAATAATAATAAAACATGCATCTTTAGTAAAAATAAAAGTTACCTGGGACCATTAAGGATACCCTATTAGAAAATGAATCTAAGTTTGTAAACACTTAAAATCTTTTCTGTCTTTATGGTTTTTCCTGTCATGTATTTGAAACCCTGAAACTAAAGACAACTTATTGTCCTTAGTTAAATCTTCTGTTGTTTTTGTGAAATGGGGAGTTTTACTAGATAACCCAAGTAAAGCTGTATACTCTGCTCCTTGGGTGGTAGGATTAGAGGCAAACACCACTGGCTTAGATAGACATGGAAACAATTTTAAAGATGAAAAGGTGAGAAATAAGGAGCAATTCAAAACAATTGACTTCTCTAATTTTAGAATGTGCTTATTCAGATCACCTGAGCACTGCTGGCTTTTGGTAATTTAGTAATTTTGGTAATTTAGGATATGACATCAATATACCATTTATACTTATAAACAACAATTATGCTTTAGTTTGAATACTGTATTTTAACATAATTTGCTTTGTTTTTAATTTACAAAAGTAACTAAGGGACAAGAAGGAACACTGGAATATCTGGAAGACTAATATAATAAGATCCATGTATAGCCAGCCATAAAAATACAGCAATGCCCTCTTTAAAAATAAGACCAGTTGTGGCTAGAGAGATGGCTCAGAGGTTAAGAGCACTGACTGCTCTTCCAGAGGTCCTGAGTTCAATTCCCAGCAACCACATGGGGGCTCACAACCATCCATTATGAGATCTGGTGTGCAGATATACATGGAAGCAGAATGTTGTATACATAATAAATAAATAAAATCTTTAAAACAAACAAAAAACCAGTTGCCGGGCGTTGGTGGCACACACCTTTAATCCTAGCACTCGGGAAGCTGAGGCAGAGGCAGGAGGATCTCTGTGAGTTCGAGGCCAGCCTGGTCTACAAAAGCTAGCTAGTTCCAGAACAGGCTCCAAAGCTACAGAGAAACTCTGTCTCGGGGAAAAAACAAAAACAAAACAACAATAAAAAACCAACCAACCAAAAAAAAAAAAAAAAAAAAAAAAAAAAAAAAACAACAACAAAAAAAACCAAACCCAAAACCAGTTGTTCCTGTCTAGTATGTTTAGAATGCAAACGCTTCCAAAGTCAGTCCAATTATGTCATGACAGTTCATGTTAAAGTTAGCAGGAAAAAAACTTGAAAGCCCATACTGACTCAAACTTTGAAAACATGAGTAAAGAGCTCTGTAAATTTTCACAGCTAGGATCCACTAGTGACTAGCCCTGAGGGAAATTCAAGCTCAAAGTTACAAAATGGTTAAAAACCTTGGCTCAGGAGAAGATATTATGAACAGACACTTATTCAAGACAGCTTTTGCCCTAATCTGCAAGGCATTTGCAATCCTTGAATATGGGGTTCTATATAAATAGAAGCTACTTGTTATTCAGAGGAGGTGGTGCAAAAACAGCTATTTTCTTTCTAAACACTCTTTGGTGTTGAGGTAAACAGTCTGAAACACACAAGAGCAAAGCAACTGCTCTATCATAGGCTGGGGAACAGGAAAAAGTTTGCTTTAACAGTATCAGGAGATACTGGGAGTTAAGCACATCAGTGGGTGCCAATATGTATTTTCAAGTGAACTACTAGGTGACAAATTCTGCTGCATATTAATGTAGAGATGATTAAAAATACTGAAAACTCAAAAGTAAACATTAAAGTGTTATAAACACTTTAAGTTTCATATAAGAATTGTTGGGGGGGGGAAGGTTGCTCAGTAGGTAAAAGTCTTGCCGACAACCTTGATGACCTGGGTTTGATACCTGGGTCCCACATGGGAGTTGAGATGATGACTTCAACCTGTCCTCTGACCCCCCCCCCAATGTAGCATGCGCTATCCCATAATACACTAATGTTAAAACAAAACAAAACAACCCTTTGTGCTGCACAGCCTTCCCTTTTTGTAGGGGGCTGGGTTTGCAAAGACCACAAGTCAAATCGATAGGAAGGAACAGTTTTGATTGTTTTACCGGTAATTGCCTTCATCAGCTTCAACACTATTCCTTTCTAGGCCCAATTTTAGACATTCTTAGGAAAAGTGATTCAGGCACAGGCAAATGTAACTGGCAGTACTAAGGAAATGGAGTTAAAATTCCTAATCTCAAGAATACCAGCGAGACAACCATGAAATCCCCACGTAGACATTCTCTAGCTTCCCGAGAATACTATCAACTACCTTTAGTCATGTAAGCAGCACACTTGCAACCGACCCGGCAGGCAAAGTTTTCAGTTGGCCTTCACTATCTCTTAACTCTCCCCACCCCCCTTCCTCCACTTCCTTGCTCTTCTTTCCTGGCAGGAAAATATAGGCCAATGAGCAGTGGGTGGGTGAGGAGGATGTGAGAACAAATTTGAGAAGTAAAAAAGGGAGCAACTTAACCAGGACATGAATGAGGCTGAAGGGTCTAATAAGGGCAGACAAACGAGTATCGTTATCAGAAAGACTGAAAATAATGGAAGGTGCTTTCCTCGGCGGGCGGCAGTGCGTGTCATTATGTATGCAGGTTTAAGTAGAGGTCAGACTACCTACCACTTGTCAGAAGCTGGACAGGGGCGGCTGCTTGGGGTGACTTCTAGTGTCTCTTCCGACTCTGAAATGTTAGGATTACTAGTTCACAAAGGAGAACGAAAGGATGATGGAAGCCCACCACCGCCTTGGAACTCTTCTGAAGCAGCAGCCTCGGCCGCCGACTCCCCGACACCACTCCTACGTCTCCCTCCCACACGTGCCCACCCCGCCCCCTTTCAATATCAGCACCTCCACGTGCAAAATGCCTCACGGCACTGGCCCCACACTAGTGGGCACCTTCCCCTGCAAAGCCTTCAAACTCTG